GGGAGAAAGCTTCGTGTGATGCTCTGAAGATGGTCCCAATCCGGCATACTTATCTCTTGAAATGGAAACATCACTGGCCTACAGTAGTTTGAGGTAAAGGACATGAACCCAAATAATTGCAGAAGCAAGCTGAATAGCTGATTAACATGAAACACGGAAAAAGTTAAAAACAAAAACCCAACACTAAGCAAAGGAACTCTGTCATGGATACTGGAAACTCACCGCCTTCCTTTTCTCTTGCTCCAGTTCTTGGTATTCCCTATCCTTTCTCCTCTGTATTTCATTTATAATGCGATCCGCCTCCACCTACAACCACCACACAAGAGCAGTTGGGGTGAGAAAGCATTGGACAACAAGATAAGAAGCAACATCAAGTATTAAATGGAAGAAAGACCTTTTTCTTTCTCGTTTCCTCTTCCTTTGCATCCAAGAACTGCTGTGGAACACCACTTGCACTACTCTGTGCACTAAGGAGTAGTGACCAAAGCTCTTTCATGAACTTCCCAGTATTCCTCTCCATGAACCCAGTCAGTTGGATTTGGATCTCTTTACCATTTACATCCTGCACTCAATGGCGCGAAACCAATGAGCATCCCAAATCAAATTAGAGTAATGAATACAACGAAATAAGTTTGAACTACATGTGACTACCTTTCCTTCTAGAAGACCATATATGAAGTTGATAAGCACTTCGTCTTCAATCCCTACAAGTTCAGTAGCTCGTTTTGCAATCCAAGGTCTCATCACATCCATCTTCACCTTAGTCATGTCCACCTATCCACATCAATATAGCATCAAGAATTGAAATTGAGATTGAAATGCTAGCTAAAATAAAGAAAAGCATGATAAAATTTAGTTGAGTTTGCCATCCAATTCTCTAATGCCAACCTAAAAGCATAATTAATACACCTAATCCATCCTTCATCTGACCATAAAAGGTTGCCATCCAGTAATTACGGAGTATTATATTAAAAAAAACTAGATATCCAAACCAGATGCTCCAATTCTGGGGCGAACTTCTGCGATTTCAGCAGCTTAGCTTGCTTGTTGGAGAACCTTGTGTCTTGATCCGCAGAAGTACCCTAGAAGAAAGAAGCAAACACACACAAAAGAAAAAAAATCAATATTTCCGATGCCTTGGACAAACAAGCGAGATTCAATCCGACGCAGAATGAACACAACGAAGTGAAACGACCCGTACCCGGAAAAACCCCCCTGACATTTTCTAGGGTTTGTGAACAGAAGTGCGTAATCCGGTTGGTTGCGTGCGCCAACGAAGATGGCTTAGTTTCTGCTCGAATTGGATGTGAGATCTTCCAGAAATGCCTCAAGAGCACGAAGGAGTGGCTACTGATCTTCAAGTTCGGAAAGTAGAGAACATGCAATTTGCAGGTTTCGCAGCGGATACGATTTCCGGTTCGGGTTGTCGGCCTCCGTATAAACCAATATTTATGGGCTGAAGATCGAAGAAGGCGAGTTTTGGACTCCCGTCGTTAATAATGCCCCATCTCGTTTTATAGCCTCGTTATTAGATTTAAGGCCCGTTTGGTAATGGCACCAAATATGAGTTTTGTATAGACTAAGGGAGTTCATATCTACGCTTTACATTTTTTATTTTTTCAAATATTGAAAATATTACCGATTTTTATTAAGGAAAAAGTACTCAAAATAATCCCAACTTACCCGGTCTTTCAAAAATAATCTCATCTTTCACTGTGATGTATAATAATCTCAACTTTACTGAAATTTGCGAGTTTTGGTTCGCCGTTAAGTTTCTAACGGAGGATTAAGGGAAATGCCTGTTTTGGGCAACAAAATAAAAGTTGGGATTATTATTGATGAATTTTCATTTTTTTTAATTTTTTTTTAAATTTTAAATTTTTAAAATTACTTTCTACCTCCATCATCATTTCTTTTTTTCTTTTTTAAAGATTAGTCTTAGTTTAAAAAAAATAAAAATAATAGATATAAAAAAATGAAAAAATGAGAAATGTAACTAAAATGATACAAAAATAATAAAATAAATAAGGTAATCAATGGAAACTAACTTGAAATTGGTAAAAGTAAAATAAAAATATACATGTGGGTTTTAATATTTTACGCACTATACAAAGTATTAACATATCACTTCTTATTTTTTAGAAAATATTATCTACAATAATTCCAACTTTACCGGATGGCTTGTTCTTTTTAAAAAATAAGTAGTACATTAAGACTCCGTATAGTATGTAAAAAGTTAAAAACCACCACTCCGTATATATTTATTTTATTTCTTACCAGTTTCTATTTAATTTCTATTGATTACATTATTTATTTGATTAATTTTGTATGATTTTAGTTATTTTTCTCATTTTCATTATTTTTTATATCTAATTTTTTCTAAGGTAAGAATAATCTTTAAAAAAGAAAAAGAAATGAAGGTTGAAAGTAATTCAAAAAATTTAAATAAAAATTTCAAAAAAATTAAAAAATAAAAATTCATCAAAAATAATCTCAACTTTCATTTTGTTGCCTAAAACGGGCATTTCCGTTAACGCTCCGTTAGAAACTTAACGATGACCAAAACTGGCAAATTTCAATAAAGTTGGGATTATTATGCATCACAGTGAAAGGTGGGATTATTTTTGAAAGACAGAGTAAAGTTAGACTTATTTTGGGTAATTTTTCCTTTTATTAAAAGTATCTCATCCTATTTGATGATGATCATGTAAAAAGCCTCAATTTTGAATTTAAAAAGTCCTTTCGAGAACTAAGGATGTACACAATTTCGATACTGAACTAGTATAAAAATTGACAATTTCGTAATCATACAGGAATCAGAATAGATAGATTGGAGAATCAGATTCAAAATAGGAGAGAAAAGATACAATTCAAATTTCTATATTTTTTGCCAGAACCATTTGTTTAAGTTCAATGTTTATTGTAAATATACTTTGAAAATCAATAAAATAGTGCATTGCCTAAACCAAGAATAATATATCATTGTTAAAGTATTGATTTACTGTTGTTCTCTTATCTTTTTCGAATATGTTTCTTGATTTCAGATTAAAAGTCTGTCTAATATTTTGAGCCAAGACTTTTTACAATTTTACATATGATCTATCATTTATTTCCATGATGGATCACATGTCGTATTCCAACCCGTACATCACTTAACCCAATATTAATTCCCATCATCATTTGAATATTTTAAGACACTTGAAGCACTCTATTACGTCTGCATATTGCTTGATCCATTATTCCTTTACTCAAACAAGATACAAAGTACTTTTTTAGCAGAAACATGTTATTTTTGGATAATGTTCTTATCATTTATAGAACTTAAGTATTTAATCAATCTAACTTTTGTTTGAGTTATTGTTGTAGGTTGAAGAAGATTAGCGATTGTATTGAAGCTTATGTGACTTAAGTTCTCCAGGTGTAAAAAGTTTGTCAAACACCCGGATAAGCTGGTTAGGTAGTGGCGATCTTGAAAGGTTGACTGAAATAGCCACACGGTGGTGAATCAATATATATCGGTGTGTACTTTGTCTTCTTTTATTTAATTCCGTCGCACATTCATTTATTTAATTTATACACACGTGCTCTAGAATTGGTAAACATTCTCAACAACTCTATTTAGCAACAACGCCAATGGTTGACGCTAACTTATCATACGTTTTGTCATTTTGTCAATATGGAAGTGTCATATTTCTCTCAACCGTTGATCATTCTCGACCACCGGCTACCGTTGTCACCGTCAACCACCAGCAACAAATAACTTAACTTCAGATCTCAAAGAATGGTCTACAAACGAAGTAATTTTTTGAATTTTTTCAATCCGTTTTATTAAAGAATGTTCTATAAATAAAAAATAAAATTAACATTTTAAAAAATTATATCAAAACTTCTATAAAACAAATGATGACAAGAATATTTTATTTTATCAAATAATTAATGAAAAAACAAAAATAAATAAAAATTCTCGTCATTTTTAAATAGTTAAGTGTTACTTATATTTTGGAACGGAGGGAGCATGATTCATTTCAAATCTCAGATGGGAGTTGATTTCAAAACTTCTGCGTAGGGGTGGGCGCGGTCCGTGATGATCCGTGATACTACCGGAACCTATTACGGACCGCTCTTATTTAAACGGTTCGGTATCGGTTCGGGATGAACTCCAAAGCCATTCGGTACCATTGCGTTTTGAAACGGAACGGTACAATACCATACCCATGCTCAAACCGTGCCAAAAAAAATGAATGTACATTACTCAAAGAATATTGAATTTAATGTACTCCCTCCGTCCCCCTGTATTTGTCCACTTTCATTTTTACACACCATCCAATGCACTTCTTTAATCCATTTTATCATGTAATTTGTATATTAACAAATTATAAAAATTATATATTAATAATCTATGTGTTAAGACAAATCAAACAAGATCACACATGACTATATTTAGGCTTACACATTGAGAGAATTTGATGAGTCAAAGTGCTTAGATGAACAATTCCAAAAGTCAAATATGGACAAATACAGGGGGACGGAGGGAGTATAAGTTTGTATACAGAGCACAAGTTTGTTAAATAAAAGTATTGATTTCAAATTTAAACGGATCATAAACATAAACAATAAAAGATAACGAGTCCAAAGTTAAAAAATACGGAGTAATTTTTTTCCCAATTCATATAATATCAGAATACTAATAACTATTAAAAAAATAATGCTAATAGTAATGATAAATATAATAACAACAATAATAATGAGAGAGTTTAAAAATGAATAATAAAATACGAAGTATTCTATATACGGTAAGATGAGGTAGACAAATACTCCATAATTATTTGAGATACGTACTCCCTATATAGCGTTGGACGGTTCGGTCCGTGATAATCGGTTTTAAATATATGTATCACGGTCCCGTCCCATTTGGTATCGGTTCGGTTTCGGTTCGTGATGAAAAATATCAATCCCGTTTGTAAACACTATAAAAGATTCGTTACCGTTACGGTCCGGTATGGTACCATGTTAGTTCAGTTTTTTTGCCCACCCCTACTTTCAAACTCACCAACCTGCCTTAATAAACGAAGGAGGTATTAACCGTCCCTCGGACCAATAGCTTGCTGCCTTTGGATTCTGCCGGAGCTCTGGTCTGGATGGCCGCCACTTGTTATCGGGTCCCCCGTCACGCAATCGGATCCACAATCGTCGAACTCTCCAGACCACATCGCACCGGAGCTCCGCCGCCCGTTCGTATCTCCGCCAGGAGCCACGGCATCGACGAGCGTGAGACGCCTCAAGGCCCGTCTTGCATATTCGTCGGACCTATAGATACCGCTAGCCAAGCAACCCTAGAAGCTCTCTACCTTCAAGTATGCTCCTTCGAACTAGCCCTTCTTACAATCTTACTGTTTCCATTGTCACATTTATGTCTAGTAGTATCGATTTCTTCTACGTACGGGCCGTAGTACATTCAAATGCTTTAAATTGCAGCTCAGAAAGATATTTGTTAAGTTGTGTATGAGTAGCCAAGCTGATTTGCAGCATTAGATATGTCCGGAGTATCGAGAAATAGCGGGATAGGCTATATGAATTGCAAAAACATTTCCAGATTAAAGTTACTTTGGTGTTATTCTAAAAAATTTCAATAACATAAGAAGTAAACTTATAGGAGTATTTGGAGTTTTATGTCTGCAACAAACCAATGAGCTCTCCTATTTATAGAGCAAAACCGACCTAGCCGTGTCTGATGACATGAACCAACTCAATGTTTCAGGTAGTATTTGATTACTACTCCCTCTTGCCTCTTTTGAATCTTCTAAGTATGACTTTCAAGGTTAGCTTTTTAAAATTTTGACTACAAATTACAGAAAAAATACATTGAATTGTGATATTAATTTAATATCAATAAGTTCTTTTTAAAACATCTTATGAAATATCACATGTTTATACGGAGTAATATATATCTATCTACAAATAGAAATATTGATGGTCAAAATATTCCATTGAAAACCGTGAAAAGTCAAATGAGAATATTCAAAAGGAATGGAGGGAGTAAGTTTGTGTAAAAAAATATACGTGTTTTACACTCCGATTTTCTATGTTGCTAACCTTTTGAATGCTGCATTGTACTCCCTCCGTTTTTAAAAACACTACCTATTTTGTTTGTACGTGCAAAACCCCATCTTTTTTTTAAATAATTTTATTTACAAATTGGTATAGAAATAAAAAGTAAAACTTATATATATATATATATATATATATATATTATAAAACTAAATAAAAAATTCTACTCGGGGTATAAAACAAGTAGTGACAAAAATTTTTATTTTGTCAAATGACTAATGAAAAAATACACGCATATAAAACTTGCCGGGATGCTTTGAATAGTAAATAAGAAGAGTTTTGGCAAACGGAGGGAGTAGTATTCGAATACTAAGGCATCATTTCGTAAAAGTCATTTGAAGTTGAGATAGTATTCAAATACCGCCTCTGTCCCATAACGACCTTTTTTTAATATCCCTCCTAAAAAGATCTTCACTTTCCTTTTTGAGAAAAGAATGTGTGGTTCGAAAAGTTTCTCTCTCCTCTCATCAAATGATAACTACTCCTTTTTCACTTTTCAACATTTTTCGTAAACTTTGTGAAAGTCAAACAAAAAAGATCTTTACGGGACGCAGGGAGTACTAATTTACTAGTATTCGGATACTAGCCATCTTTTTGCCAAAAGTAGCTGGAAGTTACACCTAGTATTTGGATACTACTCACGTAATATTTAGCATTCGGATACTTGGTATTTCAAAGCCATTTTCAAAATTTTGATGAATTTCCGTAAGGCAACAATTTTGAGCTCAACTCAACAAGGGGCTCTGCCCCTTGGACTCTGCTAGGGACTGCCCCTCTGAAGGAATTCGTAATATCATTGAATGACCTTGAACTCCACTCCTCCAAACTCGTAATCAACGTTTATTCAATTTTTTGCCTTGTCTTGAGTAAAACCAATTACCCAAAATAGAGACTAAAATTACCAACAAGTTATACTTCAACTAATTAAACAAAGTAGAGTATATTCGTTTTCTCATATTTTCATGATTCATTTATTTTAGGCAAGGGATTCGTATTACGGTGGGTCACCCCTAATACCTGATGATATGTTTGATAGAGTGGAGGTAAGTTTTTAATGTTCACATTAGTTTGCAATTGTGCACTAAAAGTTCAATATGTTCGGATTATTTCTTTGTCCTTTGCTGAGTATTTACTATGACAGTTGAAACTACGTTGGTATGGTTCACAATACGTTGTCAAGTACCCTCGTTGTAGTCTTAGGCGCCAGGCAACTTATGCGGATGCACAGGTGATATAGCTTTTAGCTGCACATATCATTTTATCTTTGGTGTTTGGGAATTAATTTTTGATTTTTCCATTGATCTTGAAGCATTTGGGGAGAGGCGAGAACATTAGGTTCCAGTGATGATAGCTTACTTTAGTTTTGACTTTCTAAAATTTCTAACCATTCAACTTCCAAAGTTGTCTTTTTAAGCTGGAGATTTTTCAAGTGACAAAAATGACAATTGACAAGTAGTGCATATGCAATACAATGGACTATTTGGCTCAAATTCTAAGCGTGGTAATGGGGAATGAAAATGGTTAAATAGCCAATGGGTTTGGTTGAGGAATTTGACTAATGGGGCACAAAAGTTACTGAAAAAGGTAATGATTGAGGAGCACCATCAATGAACCTTTAAAATTAGTTCCAATCATTCCCCTTTAATTTCCCATTTGCATTTCTCTTTCCCCCAACCAAACTCAACCTACATTTATTATTCATTTAACTTGTATAAAGTCATATTGTGAGAAATACTATTGGGCTAAAGCTATAGTAAGAATGTATAATTTGGCACGCAGTAAAGTACTACCTCTGTCCTGGAATTATCTTCCGGAATTGACTTGGCACAATTTTTAATAAAGTGGGATGTCGGTGGTTGCAGTTTGTGTAGAGGAAAGAGAATTGATATGTACCACATATTTGTTTCCTTAAAAAGAAAGAGGAAGAAAATTTTGGGACAACCCAAATAGGAAAGAAAGAAGATCATTATGGGACGGAGAGAGTAATTATAATGCTCCATTAAGAGAGATATGCTAGTGAGCATGTCATATTAAGAAACAGGAAGGATGAACATTTTGGTACCTATGTTCTGGTTACGAAGTTGTATATCTACTTATTGTAGTGCTATTGCCAAAGTGTTACAATTTGTGCTTTTGTCATTTATCATAATTTGGTTATTTCATGTATTAAAAAGGAGCTAAAGAGGTGTACATCAATGTGAGACCTTCATGATGGGTCTTGAGGTTTACACTTTCCTTGCATGATAAGAGTGCCTCACAGAGTTATGGGTGTGTTTTGAGGCACGCCACAAGATTTTTTTTGAGAGAGATTTCTTTAAGTTATTTTTCTTTTGGGTTGTGAGACTGTAAGAAATAAGGCACACTCACTAAAGTTAGTCCATCACTCCATTTATTACTTCAAAACCCATAATAGAGAAGAAGCAATCTATGAGATTATCACTCTTTATTCTGCCTGCTTCCCATCATCATCATCCTCTTTCCGGAGTTATTGGTAATATTTTTCTACTCGTACATGATTTTTTTTGCTGCTAGTCACTTTTTTATAATGATTTTGTACCTTTTTTGTAATTTCTGCACATTACAACCATGCATATCATTAGTTGGTTCCAAAACAAACCGCCTTGATATCTGAACCAGTTTTTAAATCCTTGGTTAGTTTCCGTGCCACATTATTTCAGTGAGTACTGAGTAGGACTATGGGAGAACGAGCTATTTTATCAACTTGAATATTGAGTGATGTGGATGTAGGGCAGGAGGACCCCCCGCAGGTTTTTGCACTAGCAAGCATATGGGTCCTGATTCTCAGTATTGGAGGTTCAGTATTGCTAGCGCCCGTAATATACACTATGGGTCAAGCTTGTCGAGATGCGTTCATTGCAGAAATGCCCTTCACCAGTCAAGCATCATCACTGCAGTTTCTTACAATTCTTAATGGCATACTTTACGTGGTGTTAGGATCCATCATAGGGTATCCCATTGCCTCAGCTTCTGGTAAACAGTTGATCTGCTTTCAATCTCTCTTCAGTTGCCTCAATGAGGGATTTTTTGTGTTAGCACATACTCCCTCCGTCTCATAAAAAAACTTATCATTTTGACTTTCATAGTGTTAAGAAAAAGTGTTGAAAACTGTAAAAGGTGTGGTTAGAATTGGCTAAGAGGGGAGAGAAATTTTCTTAGCACAATCTGTTTTCCTTAAAAGGAAAGTGTTTTTTGGAACTAGCAAAAAAGGAAAGTGAAAAGTTTTTATGGGATGGAGGGAGTATTACCTGCATAAATGAGAAATGTTGAGGCTTGTTACCAGATTATATTGTCACATAGAGATTAGAATTTACCGTAGATGGTAATGTAGTTTGCATTAACTTGATTAAAATATAAAATGTAAAACATATTGTACATAAGAATAGTTTTAACATTGCAATGTGCATACCACGTGCTCTCCAATGTTGTTATTGATTACAATGATGTGACTTGTAGAAATACACTAATGCTAAGCTATGAGATAGAGATATACGAATAAAATGAGTCTGATTAGATATCTGAATTTCATTTTTTTACTTTGAACTAAATTTTTATTAGTTCCCCAATTTCTTTTTTCTCCCCAAATTTCACCTCTGTTTTCCTTTCTATTTTCATTCCATATCATTTTCAGCTTTCAAACTAACACTTAGGTTCTTGTGGTGTATAACTTAAAAATCTCTCACAGCTCGAGCGCTTCGAGGGCTATGGCAAAATGACTTGGTTGCACTTAGAGGGGCATGTCCAAACTGTGGTGATGAGGTGATGCATATGGCATTTGCTTTCACTCCCTCTCTCCCAAAAACGGGTTCATACTTCCCTTTTTTTACGTTCCAAAATCTCTTGAAAAGAATTTCATGGTTCATATTATTTCTTTCCCCTCTTTGTAATCTTAACTGCACAATATTCAGTTTCTCGATAACTCAGTTTCTTAATGACTTAATCTGGTCTAATGTGTAACCTTTTTATGGGATGAAGTATTTTTCTTTTAAATCAAGGAAAATGTAGGCACATTTTGACTTTCCAGTCATTACGGCTTCGTGCACCAATTGCAGGTGTTCGCATTTGTGAGATCAGATAAGTCAAGTCATTCTTCTCATAGAACAGAGTGTCATGTATGTGACAGCATGCTAGAATTTTGCACCAAGGTTGAGGTACATACAACTACGTCTTTGTGTTTTGCTCTGTTTATTGTTTTTTTGTTCATGTAGAGCTATAAGGCATGTAAATTTCCCCCCTCAACTGAACCACCAGGAAATGAAGAAAAGTCACAATATCCTTTTCTTGTATTTGTTTTTCCACATTCATGAGGACACATGATCTTCACATTTATCTTGATGCGTTTTTGTTTCTTATTCAATTCTAGGCCTTCTTTTTGTGAATTGTTATTGTTAAGTTGACATCAATCACATTTATTCAGCCCAAACAATGCACTTTACCTGCTGGTTGATTTCATAAGCGTATTACTATTTCTGAAGCTTGATTTGTTTATGCTTTCTTAAACATGTGTCCCGGTGTATTTTGTGATGTTTTCTAAAATTTCTTCTGTTTTTGGCATGTCACACCAGTCCATCTCGATACCTGGACAGAGATGGGTTTATGGCCGTGTTTACTTGATTCAGAAGCAAGAAAAAAGGCAAAGGTAGTGGATTCAGTCTCAACAGATACGCATGGGACCAAACATATGCTCCTAGGAATAATATGTCATCTATTGTCATCTGTTCCTAGTAAAAGACATTCGATGAGTTCTCGGGCTTTTTATACGCTACTCACGCGGGCAACACCGCGGGCCTCGGAAATGAGGGCCCTTGCGGTTACTACTTACTAGCCGCATTGGTGCACTAACCTTGCAAGCAGCAGCGCAGTTCATGTATCCAAAGTGTCCTTTTGCTATGCAATTCTGAATGGTCATCAAGTTTTATTCGAAAATTTGAATTATGGTAAAAAAATTACCTAGTTTGCTTTTGTAAAATCTGAAAACTGTTCTCTTATGCTCTGTACTAGTGTTACATATTATCCGAGCACAATGCATAATACACTTTCATTTTAGCGAAATGCTATTTGTACTCTAGACTTGCACCATACTTAAACGAATATAGAACAAATAACATTTCTCTATAAGATTTGGCTGTGTTATTTTAAAATTTTACTTGTACGGTAAATGTAGTGTACGCATATCGTTTTTTTTAAATATTGGAATTAAATACCGCCTTTAGCCCTAAGTTAAGTTTATAATTCAAAGACGATATCAAAAGTTGTACTCCCTCCGTCACATAAAGAATTTCATAGTTTGAGTTGCGAAGTTTATGTTGAGAAGTAAAAAAAGCGCATGGTTGTAATTTGTTTATATGAGAGAAATTTTGTGTCATGTTCTATCACTACGGTTTCTAGTCTTTTTCGGGATTCTAGGTGAGAATTAAATTGAGGGCTCTTAAATAATAAAAAATAATAAATCACAATATGATATTTCATTTTAAAAAATAAACTTCATAATATTAAAAATAAAAAATAAATTATACAATTGCTACTAGATAATAATTGATAAAAGCACAAATTAGGCATATGTTCCATATGTTTGGAAATTGGAATACACATACATATACAAATACATTTGTTTTCTATACGCTAGCTTTTATAAAAAATACACCTTATGATGTGCCTTTGTTAGCGTATTTGCGTATAATACACATATTTACCATGCAATTTCGCATATGTTTTTTTCAAACACGGGTGGTTTATACGCATACTAATTTCCTCTCTTGTTTATACGAGATGTCATTCGTGTAAAAAACAAAAATATTTTTTTTGTTATATTGTCCAATTTTTTTTTCATTTCTTCTTCAGATGTGTTGTTCTCGATATCTTGTTTTTCAGAATTAGACATGCTCTTCTCCTAGGCAATCCAAATCAAGCACTCTAAGACTTGGATCAATTCTCTTTCTTGATACCAAAATGAACACTTAACACTACAAGAAAATATCAAATTTGCAATGGAAACATTACAACAGATAAAATTCCATTGCAGAATTGCAACAGAATTATTTCGCAACAGATTTTTTTGCAACGGAAAGTAAAATTATCTGTTGCAATTTTGGCGGGAGGTTGGCGCCTTTTTCTGGGAATGATCTGCAACAGATATTTGCTACAGATTTTCTGTTGCAGACTATCCGCAACAACTTATTCAACAATTGCAACGATCGAATCAGTTGCTAAAATAACATTTTTTACTACATATTTTTTACTTGTAATGTTATAATTTTGACTACATGTATTTCAGAATTATTGTATTTCAAACTTATATGTTACTATTTTTCATGCATATGTAAATTTTAAATTGCGATTAAATAAATTTGAATGTAAATTATTCTACTAATTTGACTTTTTTAGTTGTTTGGCTGCAAATTAATTGTATACATATTTAAATAAATAATTATTATCACATCTACACAAATACACAATTATATAAAATACATACTGAGTATTACGAGGTATAATTTAGCTTACTTTTTTCAAATTAGACAAAAATGAATTTAAAATAAATTGAAAGTAAAAATGAAACAAAAAAAATAAATTAATTTGAAATTTTAAAAAAATGTAATTGAAACTTATTAAAAAGATTGAATGACTGATTTATTTGAATAAAAACATGAGTACAAAATAATAGTGTACTCTTTTTGTCCTATAAAATTGGTGACACTTTGATGTCACAAATCTTAAGAAACTTGTTAAAAGAGAGTAAAAAATTCAGAGTATGTGGTTAAAACTAAGTTTGTTTAAAATATTGAGAATTGTTGGTAGACACATACTCCGTATTCATTACCTAAATAGGAAATAAAGTTAGAAAAAGTGTTTTATGGGATCTGGAAAATTAGAAAAAGTGTAAGTAATTTTAATAGGGAAGGAAATATATTTTTAAAATAAATAAATGTTATTCCCCAAAACAGAGTCATATAAAACATATATCAAAACATTATCTAATGTTTTTATTCAATTTAGATTATTTGAATAAATGTTATTCCCCAAAGTCACTTTTTTGAGTTTGAGACTAATTTAAAGATAAAAATAAAGGGGGGGAAGAGGGACCAAAAAATTCATTCATTTTTTGACCTTAACTTTTTACGAGAGCTAGAAAACAGCGGAGAGAGCGGAGAGCGAGAGCGAGGGTTTCCTCGCCGGTTAAACGCCTCCATCGCCCGCGTTTACCGGCGAGTCGCAAGAGACGCACCCGGCCACCACTCGGAGAAAGCACGATCTGGGATAGTTTTCCATCAGTTAATCGCACCAAACCAAGCACAACCGAGCTTGATTTTGAACGGATCTTCGAGGGTGACGTACTTAAATCTTAAATTAATAGTTTGATTGAATTGTATTGTGTTTCTAGTTCAAGATCTGAGATTGATTCGTGATTTTCAATTGGTTTGTGTCTGGTATATTGAGATTTGGTTCTAAGCTTTCCTAGCTCTGTTGTGTGTTCGATTTCTCCATTATTTGTGTGATTTGAATCTGAGTTTGCGATTTCAAAAATGTTGTTTGAATAGATCCAGATGGATTCTCTACTCTGATATGAATAGAAATGCGTAGGTTTGCATTACTTGGTTTGATGTGTGGGTTTTGAAGCAAATCCTTTACCACTGAAATTCATAAACTTATTTTCTAGAAGTATGAATTGAAATAAGGAAATCTTTATGTGTGAGTCTGAATTAATGCTGAGTTTTTGTGCATTGGCATTGGTGGTTTTCTTGCTGCATTTTGGTTTTAACTTAGCATCAGAAGACAATAAGTTTTTTTATTACTTTGGCAATTTATTGCAGATTTGGTTGTATTACTGGGCTTGATCTTTGGAGAGTCCACACAAATTGATGGTTGGTATTGCGTAGAGCACCCTTGGATATGCTTGAGCTTTTTAGGGTCAAAGTATCTACTATTATAATCAATGGTTAGTTATGTATTTTACACGTGGTTTGGTTGATGTTGGTCTTTGAGTTTTCGGAGGGCTTTGGTTCGGTCCTCCCCTTTTGCTTTTTATTTACTTTTGTTGAAAAATATATTAATAAGCATTTTTATTAATGATTTAAGGATTTTGATTGATGAGACATTTTTAGACCACTATAAATAAACTTTTTTTGAAATTGTTTGTAGATGGGCAACGTAAGGGAAACAAGAGACAAAAACAAACTCAAAGGAGAATAGAGACCCACGAAAATATTATGTCAGTGTGGCACAAGGTATTTTTATTTAAGTTCAAAAATATTGCATGGTGTTGGACTTAGGGCGATGATATATTATGACAGTAAATATAATCATATAATTAATGTTTGATTCTTTGATAGTTTGAATAATGCATGTCTTACTAAGCCCCGTAACTTTGATAGTTTGATA